TTCATCTAGGGAGAGAAGCCAGACTTGGTGGACCAGTCCATTTTCGTTGGATGTATCCATTTGAGAGGTAAAGCTTCTTCTGTTCTAAACTTTATTTCATTGAAGATGTATTTTTATCACTGATTTTATTTTCTGTGTCTATATAGGTATATGAAGGTACTAAAAGACTTCGTGAGAAACCCTGCAAGACCAGAAGGTTGTATAGCTGAATCATATTTAGCAGAAGAATGCATGCAATTTTGTTCTGATTTTCTGAAGAAGACAACTAGTGTAGAGGATAAACAAGAAAGAAATACTGAGTATGAGAACAAGTCTATACTGGAAGGTCGTCCAATTTCTGCGGCCAAATCAATTACACTTTCAGAAACGGAGCTGAAAATAGCTCATCTTGCTGTTATTCAGAATATGGCTGTCATAGACCCTTTTGTGGAGTAAGTTACTATCTTTTGTGATTTTCATATATGATGTGTTATTATCTAAAATATAGTAGCTAATTCCCTTCTTCTTGTATCTAGTATGCACTTGCAGCATCTACAGGACACAAATGCAAAATGTAGACGTGATGCCACGACTTTGTGGAGTACGCATACCAAAAATTTTGCACTTTGGTTAAAAGAACAGGCAAGTTCAAAATACTCTTTCTTAGGTCTACAAATAAATACATATTTATATATAAGTCTGACTGTCCTTTACCTTTGTAGATACCTATTACTTCAGAAACACATGAAGAAATACTGAAATGGGTCGCATATGGCCCACGTACTACTGCAAGGTCATATACTGGATACATAGTCAATGGGCAGCGGTTTCAAACAATCTCGGTTGACAGACAAAGTCAGAATAGTGGTGTCTACTACGAGGCAATGGCTATGTGTAGGTCTAGCGCTAGAGACACTTCGCAAGTGGCTGATCTTGTCTCATACTATGGCCGAGTTATTGACATTATACTACTGGACTATAATGTTTTCTATGTTCCTCTATTCCGGTGTCAGTGGGCAGTAAGAGGTAATGGGGTTAAGATAGAAGACGGCTTCACACTTGTCAACCTGAATCAGAGCCAAGTGACATTCTTGAATGATCCTTACATATTAACTTCCCAAGCCAAGCAAGTTTTTTATTCTAGAGAGGATGATTCTTCAAGTTGGTATGTTGCTTTGAGAGGTCCTTCGAGAAGATATAGTGACAAGGATGTTGAAGAATCTATGGCAGATATTGGGCCATTGCCGTCCACTCTAGATATGGATACTGACATTGATGAATCTCCAAACGCCCGTGCGGATTGTGAAGGCATATATGTGTGAAACTGCATCCTTATGTTCTTTTGTGTGATGTATAAGTGATCGTTGCTTTTTTTTCTTGTGTGATGCATAAGTCTGAATTGTGAGTCTGAATTGCATAAGTTTCCATGTCTTGGTCAGAAACTAAAAATTGGGTTTCAGGTCAATTAACATGGGTCGTCCCAAGGGTGGTACACAGAGAAGGAAAACGAAGTCTCAACAGGCCACTGAGGAGCCAGTGTATGTGGGTTATGAAAAAGGAGTAAATGATACAGAAGATGTTTTGAATGAAGATAGAATCCCTGAGGAGTCACATGTTGAGGAAGATATGCAAGAGGCTGGTCTGGATGAAGCTGGTATAGAAGATGAGGTTCAATGCAATTTAACAGAGACTGAACCTAAGCGTAAGAAACAGCGAGGACCAACAAAGATGAAATACATTGCGAAAGATCCAAATTGTCGTGAAAAGGTTGATTTTACTGACCTAGGAGAACCTATTGGTTCGGGTTCTGTGAAGTTGTCATCATACTTAGGTCCTTTAGTGAGGGAACACGTTCCTGTGATAATTGATGGCTGGAGAAAAATCAGTGAAGAACTAAAGACAGTTCTTAGGAAATCAGTTCAGGTACACTTTCTTTGGAAAGACAGTATTTCACTATGTACAGTAATCTCATATTCTGTTGACACTTTGTTCTTGCTATTGGAAACAAGCAAGGTTTGAGCTTGATGAAGACTACCAAAAGAATCTCGTCCTAAAGCAGATGGGATGTTTGTGGAGGGCATCCAAGTCGCGGTTAGTTACGCAGATCAGAGATAGTGCTACCAATCAACAGAGGATGAACCTCCTAATATACCTCTATTTACATGCTTTTTATACTGTTTTAGCATTGTTTTCTAATGGTTTTTGGCAGGTTTTCTATCTAAAAAGGTAGTTTTACTGTGTTTATAGTGTCTAGAGTCTAAACAGGTGAAATGATGCATTTTGGAGCAAAACCATAGGATTTGCACTTCAAGCCGCTCCATGCACAAGCACCAACTTTAAGAGGGCCCAGAAAAAGATCTACTCAATGGATTTCATCAAGACCAGTTCCCTGCGTGCTCTGATTGAGTTAACTTTCCAACGCAACTGGAATGGCCTCATTTGGATGAGTAGAAAAGGAGTTACAACCAAAAGAGTGAAGACTGTCCAGACGGCTCTATCGAGAATCAGCGCCCAAACCGCGCAGTCCGGCTGGCCGAGAATCACATCCGTCCGTCTGAAGTCTCGGCCAAAGTTCCAAAACCGCCGGCCGATCACGCATCACGACCCGGGAAACATGTCCCGCGGTCGGCCACGCCACAACCTCACGCCACACCGCGCACGACCAAAGCCGCGCGAGCCGGGAAACAAGCCTCGCGGCCGCGCAACCGTCTCGCGTACCACGGCCGATGCGCCGTCCGAGCCGGGAAACTACGTCCCGCGTCCGGCCGAGAATTCATCGGCCAAATCTTCATCCGTCCGACCACGCGGCCGACCACGAATCCATCCGGCCACGACCGTTCCGATCTCGGACCCAGACCCGATCTCCGGCCGATCGTCCCGACCGACCGTCCCAACGCCGCGGTCGACCCGAAGCCCGTTTTGAAGCCCGTTTCATATTTTCAAGCCCGGCTTAACCCTAAGCCGCCTCTAAAAGACCTAGCACTATATATATAGCTTTTTAGCCTCTTGTGAAAAGAGAGCCGCCCTTGTATTTCGATTTCCTACTCTAAGTTTTATTGCAATCATGTTTTCTTCATCTCTATGTGTGTTTGCTTTGATCATGTCTGAGTAATCCACTAGTTAGGTTGCTAGGGTTACTATTCAATGAGTTGCTTGCATGATCTTTGATTTCAATGATTAGCTAGGGATTATATTAGAGTCTTTGTCTCGTCTTGTGCACTTAACTAATGCTGATTGCTTTACCGCGCATCTAGTAATCCGATCTTAGGTTGATTTGAGCCTCGACAGTGTTGTATCATTCGCCGGACATATTCTTTGACAAGCTAGGTTTCTTAGACTGCGAAAGTTGATCTACTATATCTAGTGAACTGTATCAGAACCTATTCATTCTAAAGCTTGATTTAATCACCTAGGGACATACCAAAAGTTTAGCGACTAGGTAGATTAACAAAGGAGCCGGAGCCTCGAAAGTGGAATGGTTTTATATTCGTGATCTGTGTTCTAGACGGTTCTTAATATCCCAACATCCCTAATCAATTCATCTATCATTGTTTCATTGATCATTGCTTGCTTCTCTGCGATAGCCCCTATGACCTAGCGCTTTTCCTTTATTGTTTACAACCTCGTTATACTTGCTAGTTCGGTTCACCATTACAACCTCAATCATACTTTTGTTTTAGCTTGATCCAAAATCCATAGTTTCAAAGTGTACTCAATAGCCAGTCCTTGTGTTCGATACCCATACTTCCGCGATCTGTGCACTTGCAGAGGTCTAGGAGTTTGGTAAAACCTGACTCCGCATCACCTCCGACCAAGTAATGTGCCACCAAATGATGGCGTAAATTTGTGAAGCTCAAAACTAGCTCAGCCTTTAAGGTATGAAGAATTACTCTGTAATTTACAAAATCTTCGCAGTGGTCATACATGTTGGTAATGACATTTTAATTTAAGGCTGTGAGTGATCAATACAAGGAGAGAAGGAGTAAGCAGATTCCACATACTTGTTGCCGTAAAGGGATGGTGAGGCTGGCAGATGATATGGTATGTCATATTCTACGATACATTGACACTTAAACATGCAATATTTGATGTTTCTTTCATCACTTTTTCGATTGATTTGTTGTATTTGCACAGAAAAAAAGTAAGTGCAGAGCCAACTGAAGTGACTAGGCTGAAAGTCTGGGTAAAGTCACGGACTAGAAAGGATGGAACACCGGTAAATACCAATGCAGCCGAGAAATTTGTAAGAATTTCGTAAATTTGATTTTGATTTTTTTCCACTTAATTACCTACTGGGGAAATTATAAAGCAATTTGTTGTTCTTTTTTTGGCGTTTATCTTATGTACACAAGAAGAAAGCCACTGATCTAGTTGATAATGCTGGTCCTCCAATATCAATGAATCCAAGAGGAGATCTCCTTTCTCAAGTGTTAGGACCTGATAATCCTGGTCGGCTGAGGGCAATGGGTAGAAGCATGAGTATGAGTAAGTTAGCTTGTTTCCAAGTGAAAAGTAAGCTTATGGATGAAATGCAAGAGAAGCAATTTCATCTGATACATAAGGTAATGAGTTGCAAGATGAACTTGCAAGAATCAAGAATCAGGTTAGCAACAGTTGTGAATTTTTTGATTAGTTAGGAGCTTCCCTTGTGTTAGTAAATTAACATATGTGATGTTGACTTTATTTTTATGATTCAGAGACAAGAACCTGAAGTTGGTGAAAACTCAGCAGCTGCTAAAGTGAGTTATAAATATATGTTCAGTTATATTCGCTTTACCACAACCTAAATGTCTAACATTTTTCCTGGTAATCAACCTTTTGTAGAGCGTGAATAAAAAATCACAACCCAGATTTGTGTTGGTTGATTGGTATGGAAGTAATGAAGACGTTGCTACTAGACGCATTCTTTCATTTGATCCTGCAGACTTTGTGAATGACATCCCACTTGGCCCTGTTGCTGTTAAGATTCTGGTTGAGACTGCAAAAAAAGAAGATGGTTTTCTTTGGAGACCTGCCCCTGCAATGTTTACAATTGGGGAAGCTGTTGGGCATATAATTGCATGGCCTTCAAACAACTGTGTTATTTCAGATCAGGACCTGGAACCAGAAGACATTGCGCCTAGGGTAGGTTTTGATTTGGTTTGAGAGTTTTACATGTGATGCATTACTCTAGAATTCATGGTGTTATTGTTCTGAATGAGTCTGTTATATTCTTATAGGCTGCTTCGGCGAATTCTATAAACAAATGCAAACTGTTGGACTGGTCAACAAACGATGAAGTTGTTGGAGAAGGCCGCTGGCAGTCTAAGGAACCAAAAGCATTGGTCAACGGTCTCCCTCTCGGACCTAATGCAGTTAAAGTTTATGTGGATGTCGTACATGCACCTGAAACATTTCTTTGGAGGCCTACAGCTGAAAAGACATATCTTGAGGACTCTTTGATGTCTTTTGTAGCCTGGACAGCAGGTAGAGTTGTATATGAAGATAGTACAGATGGAGAATATCACATATCTCCATCACGGAAGCTTACACCATATGATAAGGTGGCAACTTCAAAATCTGCATCAACAAGTACGAGAACTGCCTCACCAGCAAGTACGAAATCTCAACAAACAAGTCCACAAGCTTCTCTGAAGAAGCCTCAACCTCCTTCTGAATCTAATATTCAAGGATCTTTGGTAATTTTGTAAGTACAGTTGTTTGCCTCTTTCTTTGTTTACCTTTCAATATAATTGAATGATTTATCTTCTATACTTCGCTGCATCACAAGCAGGTTGCAGTTGGCCGGGAAAATCAGAAGGTGAAGTTGATGGACATTTCTGGAAAGAAGTGTGTTGTTGCTGAAGGGCGTTGGGCTTCAAACAACCCAGAGAAAAATGTCCATTTCGTTCCCTTAGGTAACAATACTGTTAGAGTTTGGATTGACATAGTCAATGTCAAGGATGCAGCAGTTTGGAGGCCATGTTCCGAAATAGAGGCCATGGAAGATGCAATTGGTACATCCATTGCATGGCCAGAGGACAATGTAATCTTGTGTTAGAGTTAAATAGGTTTGGCCTATTACTTTATGGTTGAATTGAGACTTGAACTATGTATTCTTGTTTTAGAATTCTTTATGCAGTTTGTTTTGAGACATGTTCTAATGATTATGGATGTTTGGCTTTGTTTGGGAATATTTCTATGGAGCTCTCGGTTTTGAGAAACAAGTTCAGTATACATTTCATAGCGTAATGAAGCGATTAATAACCATTTACTATAGCGTCGAAAATAAGCTGTAAGACTAGAAATTACAGCATACATAAGCTGCTATGATTAACTAATT